GGGTCTTACATTTATCCTCCTCTTCCGTGACCTTCTTCAACTTCAGCGTCCCACTCTAATCCACAGATCTAACCTTTTAGTCTTCCCCTTGGCACTTAATTTTGGATCAAGGACCCTTTCATCTCTTCATCTCTGATATTGTTTTCTAATCGTCTTGAGGTTTTTGTATACATTCGATTGAATCTGAATACTTTCTGAAAATTGGATTTCTCAAAAAATTCCGAGTTTCAATTCTGTTTCAAGTGTTTTAATCCATTTTACATCATATACAATCCAGCGATATCGTATTTGATTGAATTTTTTGAGGAGTTGGTGAATTTGATTTCAGGTTTTTGATTGACTTCAATTTTGGTGAGGGTTGATTAAGCTATAAGCATATCACTGGATTGTGATACAGATGCTGAGCGTGAGCAGAAGCTACAGATTCTTCATATTTTCTCGAAAAGGTACATTTGTCACATGTTAAACCAAATTGTTTTTGTCTTGAGCCAATGTTACAGCCAAGATCTTGCTTTCACTTTTATCCGCAGGCTTGATGAGGGGAAGAGGAGGAAGCCCAACGCGAAACACACTTTCTCTCTCTCTCTACGGAATCAGTCCATCAGATATTTTTTCTTTCAACCCCTTTCCGTGTGGTTGGACTTAGACGCCTGAATCGTATGCGACCTATTTAACACACAAAGTCTCTTCCTTTACCCTCCCACACGTTCAAAATCTCAATCCTTTCTTTCTCGGGTCAAAATCTCATGAGCCACGGAAACTGTATATAACCATCGAATCAAGCTACCCAGTATCTCCATTACTGGATCTCGCATTGAAAATTTGAGATAATAATATTCCTAGGGTTTAGTTTTTGCGGAGATGATTGATCACGGTAGGAGCTCGACCTTTTATTACCGGAGCATTAGAGAGGCCGCATGCAACGCCGGCGCTGGAGCCACCGCAGGTTCAGTTTTATTCTATCTCCTCGAGTCGTGTGTCCTTGGTGTGTTCTTGAAAGAAACTTACTGTACTCTGATCAGTTTGATCTGAGCCTTTCAGCAGAAGAGAAACAAATATACAACAAGTGCAAGGTCTTTGCGCCGTTCCACTCCAAAGAAAAGCACAAGGAACTGATTCCAAAGGTCATTGAGGAGCACCGGATTCTCAAAAGAATCCAGGATCTTCAGGTTTGATGCTTATTCTTTAACCAAGGACTTGAGAAATGCTTACAAACTCAACCAGGTGGGACCTAAGTAAGGGTTTTTTCTTAATGTTGCTAGGAAGCCAGAGCTGCTGGTTGTACGACAACTGCAAAAGTTAATAGATTTATAGAAGAGAAGAGAAAGAAGAAAGCTGAAAAAGTTTATGCGACTAAACCATGGTGGACAAGGCAGTGTAGCTGGTAAAGCACTAAAGAGTCCTAGAGGGTTACAAAGAAATTTATAGTCCTTTGGTTTTGACTCGCTGTCAAAGGCCACGTTTACAATAATATGTAGCTCCTTGGAAAATTGGGGCGCCAGTGGTCTCCTTGGAGCTGACTTACTCTCTGAAACCATAAGTTTCATTGTTTCATATCTGGTGATTCTCATTCGAATTGTTTCCTTGGTTTGAGATATTGAAGCTGTGTGTTTGTGCAGGAAAAGAAGATGTGCAACGAGATGAGAATACTGCCTGCACACTATTTCAAAATACTGGAAACCCTAACAAGTGAGATAAAGAAAAAATCTGATGCTAATAGCTTCTTCAGAGTAGAACCGAGTCAAGTAGACAAAGTATATGATCTGCTGAAACAGAAAATATTCCAGAGCTCTGTGGGAGTCGATTTCACCCTACTGTCAAATAAATCGTAAAAAGGAAACTTCGGGAAAACCCTAAGTTTCCAGAGGAACCGGCTATCTGCGAGAACCGCACAACGAAAATAAGATGACGAAAATACTTAGAATTTAAATGAGAATAAACGAAAACAGAGAGCAAAGAGGTTCTTATTCCGAATCTGCGTTGAACTGGTACAAAAAGAATTGCCGAAAGCGTAAGAACTAGAAAACCC